TCCTATCCTGAAACTACTCTTGTCTCAGCACTAGATCGAATCAGCACGATCACGCGAAAAGAGGCTTTCAAAACTCGTAAAAGCAACAATGAAGATCGTACCAAACTTATACTAACCTACCACCCTCACAATTTAACTGCCAAAAAAATATTCCTAAAAAATAGTAGCATACTTCTTGCTGACCCTGATACCAACAGGGTTTTCTTATCCCCTCCACTGATTGCCTTTAGACGGGACAGAAATCTAGGTGATCTTCTGGTTCTTAGTCGCCTTCGATCTGAACCGCCTTACGTTGGTACTAAACGATGCTTAAGAAACCGCTGCAGGACTTGTCCCTCAAAACTCCAAACTGAAAGCATTAGCCTCCCTAAAGGTACCTTTACCATTAAAGAGGGTTTCACCTGTGTCAGCCGTAATGTAATATATGCGATTGTGAGCCCTAGATTGTAGATGCCAATCTAGTTACATATCTGAAACTGGGAGAAGATTGGCTGATAGGTTTACTGAACATCTAAGGGATATTGAGCAGTGTAAACCTTCCCAAGTCACTTCTCATTTCAACAGAAAAGAACATAAAGGTGCATTGGATGTGACCATTACGGCACTGATTTCATGCAGTTACACCAGAGAGGGTTAAAATGGAAAATAAATGTATTTATCTGTTTGGCACATATCTCCATATGGTATTAATCAAATAATATCCTACTGATGTTTCTCTGTTTCCCTATATTTCATCTATTTTCTTATTGCTGTGTGTTGATGCATCCCTGGATATTCTGGTCCATTATTATTGTGGACTTCACTTTTCACAGTGTCAATATTTATATTCTCTCGCTTCCTGTGTTCCCACTTCCGGTGACACGAATAGATACTTATTGCGTTGTCTACTGTGCTCTGTTCTTTGTTATATTTTTATTTCTACTGTTAGCTGAAGAAGGCTTTATGCCGAAACGTCCATGTTTTTTGTCCTGTTCTCTTATTCAAGCTTCCACTTACCTCGTTTTGCTATTTCATTCATAGATTTTAACAACATCAACTTGTTAACAAGTATTGGCAGAATTCAAGGCATATCCACATTGTACCTCTTTCTGTGAAGTTAATCCCGGATATAATTTCTACAAATTATTTTAACTTATTTTACATTAATTACTTTTTGATAATGATTTCTATTTAAAGCATGTCCAAAGAGGATGTTGTCCCGAACTGTTCCACTAAACACCCAGTTGGTCTGTCCACAGTAACTTATGCGTCCATTTAGGGCAATTTGGCCAATTTCATAAGGAAGTTCACACTATCAAATTTCATTTTGAACACACTATTTAGTATAGCAAAATAGTGCTCTCAAAAAGAAATTTGAGCAAATTTGAAGCATTACTGAGCATTAGCATTTTGACACACCTCTAATATAATCTTAAAAATGTGTTGCATGTTTATAAGGTCCATTTTATCATTCATCCATCATCTTCCACTCTGTTAGTGTCAGCCACTCTGCAGACAAATTGCCTGAATGTAAATGCCTAACTGTAATTAGTAAGATAAGGCCTACCTGGCTAATGACAGTCTTGCTTTCTGCCCACCACTTAGCTGAAGGCCTCTCTCTCCAACAAATGTTTGATCACCTTTAGGCATCAGTTCAAGATCCCGTTTCAGGCCACAGGCATTAATTACTTTTTGATAATGATTTCTATTTAAAGCATGTCCAAAGAGGATGTTGTCCCGAACTGTTCCACTAAACACCCAGTTGGTCTGTCCACAGTAACTTATGCGTCCATTTAGGGCAATTTGGCCAATTTCATAAGGAAGTTCCCCAATAAGAGCCATTAGCAATGAGGACTGGAAGATAAATTAAAAAAACATTCTTAAAATACAGATATTTTTTTCCAAAGGAGTTCCATGCACATCTCTTAACAAAGGAGTTTTAACTAAATATTTTAATTCTTTTATTAACTAACAAAAAGAATTAAACTATTTTTTTAAAACCTCTACTGTGCCACATTTACGTGTGACATGAATGAGAATGTGTCTTACACTATTTATGATTATATTTTAAAAGATGAAAGCATTTCTGGTGTTTGCTGACTTACTTTTGAATGATACCCAAAAATTTCTTTATTTTTGCCACGCAACATAAACAATGGCAAAAAGTATTTATAAAGTTTTCATTGCTGCTTAAATTATATTCATTGGTGGGAAAACTGACAAAGCAACAAGTAATACTGAGGTTCACAACAATGTACTACAGCTTAAAAGGAGCCTTACTCCGGGTTAAACAGAAATTGTTTACCTTTCCTGAGCCAACCACACCCACTACAGCCAATAGTTCACCCTGAAAATAAAATGATATCATTTTTATATCCGTCAATTCATTAATGTTTTCACATAAGGATAAAAGCTGATAGAAAGGCTAACAAGAATCAACACTTTTTTATGGTTGCAACAACTTGGTAGTGACCTGAGGTGACTAACCTTTATGACCTGGAGTGAAATATACTTCAAGGAAAATGAATGGTCGACATCACTCTGTTAAAATCAGATACAAAGAAAAGCTGGTAAGATTGAGTAGATTTAGAAACAGGAATATTTAAACTTGACTTCAGATCTTTTCCAGCAGCTTAAAAAATTTTAGAACAATTTTTAAAATGTGAATATTAAAATAAAATAGCTAGATTACTGACATTTAATAATTTATAAATGAATAATGTATCCTTAAACAGACCCCAAAAAAACACAAGTAATAAAATTTTGCCTTTGGTCACCTCATGTAGAAGACTTTTAGTAGAACTCGTGCTGGTCCTTTCTCTCTTCTTCTGGAATCTTCTTTTGCCTTCTGTATATACATGTGGCCATCTGGCGGTCACATGATCAATATCAATGGCCCAATCACTGTTAGGCTCATTTCTGAAACTGACAGACCTGTGAAGGTGGAGATCTTTGATCTGTTCCTTTTCCTCATCTAGTAAAAGAAATGTCTGAAAAAAATTTCATTTATTATTAATTGTAGGACACCCAAAACGTAAGATATTCTATTTAGGGCAAGATATTTTCTATCAATTAAATCAAAGTTTTAAAATGCTTCAAAATAACCTCTTAAAATTTTCTTATGAATATCTGTCAATCATTGATAGTAAAAATTTCTTTATGACATACATTTTAGAAAATATAACCGTTATTAAAGCTACACATTTTAAGTATTATATTTACATTTAATTTGAGCATTCTTTAGACAGAATGTTTTAATGATCAAAAAGTAAAGTTCTTACTCTTTATATGATAATATGTATGGTCTCTGTTAATAACAAATATTTTAGCAAACACTTATTATGTTTGAAACTAGAAGTTAAGCATGCAGAGTACAGGTTAAGGTTAGAGGTTCATGCAACATATGTAGGTTAATCATGCAATAACAAATTTAAGGACTTTAGGTGCAAATGAATTCTGATCATTAGGACAGATATCAACTGTGCAGCAAGATGCCTTTTTATTGTTTACCAACATTTTATTCCCTTAAAACACATGCATGGGAGAAAAGCTTACATTTTGTACTGCAATTATCAAGAAAAGGGAAACAAAAATTGAATTTCTACAGACATATTGAGATCTCTGGATGTAGATAACATAAAGGTGCTTACAGGACACTTTGCTAAACATCTAAAGCATCTTGCCAGAAGTTTTACAAATTAAAGATATTTTTAAAAATTGAAATTAATAAGAGCTACCAAAAGTGTTTTTAATGTTAAAATGTGTACAGTCAGAGTGAAATTTTTATCTTTTTATAACATCACAAAAGTAGTGTCATTCATTAAGTTGGGATATATACCCACCGGGTTGTCTGGTTCAATAAGTGGAGATGCAGTTATAGAAGATGATTCATGAGCTTACCCCCAAAGGTTTTGAGATAACCTTAAAACAAATGGTTTGAGACTAAGAATCACTGTTATGACTTGACTTGTACAAGACTCAAGTTGCATGTCGGCTTTGTATTCTACTAGTTGCATGTCGGCTTTGTATTCTACTAATCTTAATCCCAAATCTTCAACAGAGACATGAATCCAATTATTGAATATTTGCTGAAAGATTGTTCAACAGCCAACACCAAGTAAAACAATGTTCTGTCAATTTTAAAAAACTAATGTATACTTGGGTTGAAAAGCCACAGAATTAAGTTACACAGAAATAATAAGCACAAAAAAATAATAATATACAGTTGTTATGCAGATCGCATTTAAGGAAATTTAAAATTATATCCATACAAGACACTAAGTGCTGCAGTAATTCCAAATAACATTTAGTATTTTTGTTGCATTTAAATAGTTATATTTTAATTGTTGTTTAATAATTTGCCAACGATATCCAACTATCTGAAATGTGAGTTGACTTTCAGAATTCAAACTAAGAGATTTAACAAACATTCATTGAATTGATCCATTTTTTAAATCTATAAATAATTTTTTCTTAATTTATTTGATTTGATAAGTTATTTACTTATTAGACCTACACATGACTAAAATTGCATGAATAATATGGGTAGTTATGTAAGCCAGATGAAACAATTATTTTCAAAAAGCGATTAACTTAAAATTGAATTAATAAAAGCCATCACATATCTGACACCTGAAGTTATGCAAAATGCTTAATATTTCTTGTTTATTGAATACTCCAGTAACATTAGGTCAGACTTATGAAGTTCACCAACAATGAATTAGTAAAGAGATTACAGGAAACCAAATTTCAACTTAAACACAAACTGCATCTTAAATTAATAAGTTTTAATTTTTTTTTAAACCTTAGCCCTAAGACACTCAGAATGTGAGTCATAGAGGTGTATCCAGCAAAAAGATATTTTGATAGAAAACATAAAAAGACAATGAAGAAACTCACTTGCACAAGCTCTGCTGAGCCTTGCAGTGTTCCTAACCCTTTTAAAACCTCTGCAGGAAATCGGAATGCTGAACTCTGTAGCACAGATAGCCATGCAATTGTGGTAAAAATATCGGCGGCTCCGGTAATGCCATTGTACCATAGTGCTATGACCACTGCCAGTAAGGACAAACGAGCTGAGACAATTTCTATGCCAGATTCAACGCTTATGACAAATCCAGACCAACGTATTAATGCCATCTCTGATCTGTAGATAATACAAGTGTTACAATCACATCTACATGCTATACATCTTTCAATATCGCTTCAACTTGTGGTGAGACAAGCTTCAAAGTGTTGATGACTTCATGAGTAAAGATCTTCTGTTAATCACCTTCCATTAGAGTTCTTATTCACATAGCAAAAGGCGTTTACAATTGCTTGATTTAAACCAGTCATGTTAATGGTTAAAAATTATTTTTTTAAATTCTCATTCATGTTCATGAAAGTGCTATGATACAGGAAAGGGATCAATGAGGAGTGAGGAAAGAATAAGGGATATCATGGTTGAAAAGGATAAGGGGTATCATGGTTGAAAAGCTGTTTAAGAGCCATGGATCATTCTCACACAATTCACAATCACTTGAATCATTAGCTCAAATGTTAAATCATACTATAAATCTCAAGTAAAATGCACTCTATTTACCATGCAGCCACACCCATAAAATTCAAGTCAAATTAAGTCCCCTAAGCATAACCATAATATTATCATAGCACTTATGTCAAACCCCACCAACAGTAATAATCTTTACATTATTTTGTATACCCATTCCATTTTTAGCCATATAGCCATGAATGGGGGGGGGGGGGGGGGGGGGGGGGGGGGGGGGGTGTTGTCAATTTATTTTCCAGTGGTTTTCAACCAGGGTGAAGACCAAAACAAAAATAAGACTTATATCATATCTATCATTTGCTATATTTCTCAACTAATTTAGTACCAATCATAATCTGAGCCTGGACCTAAGTTCCTGCTGGAGTGGGGATGAAAGTAATACGGTTCATCATGACCCGTTCTCAAACGGGAGAACTGTTGGTCACAAAAACATTTCAATCAGAAATAGTAACCTTACCGGGAAACCTAAAGACTGTTTCGAAAGATGTTCAAATGGACACTATAAATACAGTGCACCACGTCCAAGGAGCAAGGAGAGTAAGATCGCTAAGAGTGGGGTTGCAGTGAACAGTAGTGGTGGCTTCAGAAAGTTTCCAAAGGAACCTCAAAGGTCTATACCATATCATTGAAAGAGATGGGCCCATATGTTATTCACAACACCTCTTCTCTGTGCTCCTCTAATTTAATATTTACATATTGAATAAGAAATGGTGAGAGGGGTGCAGCATTGATGAAATTAAACTTCTTTAGGATCCCTCAATTTTAGAAAGGTTGAAAACCACTTGTTTCTTTGGTGCATTAATTTTGGTTGCATTTTACCACTATATGTGATATGATCACAGTTTTGGATGCAATGTTACCATTGAAAAAATAACATTTTGATTTTATGAAATTTTTGTAAATTTTGATTTTAATATCTTAAAGAAGAGTCAAACTGATATTACATCAATTAGAACTCAACTATTTGTCATGAAACATTGAATTTGTATTTCTTATGAAACATTGAATTTGTATTTCTTATGTTCGAGTGCTATCAATAAGCTATACAAAAAAATTTCAACAGCTAAAATTTATTTAGTTGTAAAAAAATTCAAAAGTGAATTTTTTAAAATAATACAATTTATGTATCTATGTATATTTTTTTAAAGAAAAGAGTTAATTAAAAAATTACTCACAATAAGGTAAGAGCACAGAGTATTTGTAAGTTAACATTTTTTCAGTTCATGCAACATCATCCAATGCTTACTTTAAGATTCTATGTAATGAACATGTAGATGTCATTACAATTAAATTTTTGATATTCACACAAGCAGGAGAAATACCAGCAAAAATCAGTTAAATTAAGACGAAATTACAAAATAAACCAAAACATTCACCCTGAAAGCAACTTTTCGAGCATTGCTAAAGGCAGTAAATAATTGCTTCGAATTGAAACCATTTATTATTGCCTAAGGAAAGAAGTGAAACTCTGATAAAGCAGATAATGTCCAATGGAATAATAATTATTGCAGCAATCTCACATCAATTTATAGCTCATTACTGATAAAACTTCATAACAATGCCGTAAGGAACAAGCATATATAAATAACTGCCCTTTAATAGTAATTTGTTTAAAATTATTTCTGCAAAAATTCTTTGAGCCTTGCATTATGCAATGTTTAACCTTCAAAATAAAACTCTAGGGTTATGTTTGTTCCTATCAAAATTATGATTTATTTGGTCGATAGCCTTTCATTAATTTCTTTAATGAACTTCATTTGTTCTAAATTCTCCTTAACATTCTGATTAACATGTAATGTAGTTAAAGTAGAGCACCGTAACAAGTTATTGCAATAATTATTTTTCCTCCTTTTTTTATATATAATTAAAACACACCTTAACCCGATCCAGAGACATAGACAGCTGGCTAATATTTTCAGCTAAGAAATACACAAAGAAAAATCCAGTGAGACGAATGGATTCAAGCCAGCCAACGATGGTAAAGACAACTGCTGGCAGGGGCGTCTGACCATCCGCCCAGTAAATGGCTATTATTATGACCATGGCCATCAGCCTCTGGGACGTGTCTTGAAAACCACGTGCAAAACTCTTTAGTACAGCTCCCTGGTGGCCAAATATCATTTCCTGCCTTAGAAAAACATAGTATGGTGACAAAGATCAATTTAATCATATTTTATTTAAATGTGGTACAGAGTTGATCCTCAGTGCTTGATGAGCTGTACTAAAAAACATTTGGTGACTTGTAGCAAACACTTTGGAATTAAAGATTAACTACCAACTAACACCGAAAACCAAACTCTACTAAACTGTTCTTGTGTTCATCCTTTGCTTGCGACAACTTGAGCTGCATTTTGTTTAAAGTGAGGAAGAGCTGCTCAATTTGTCAGCCGCACTCCCTTCTCCTTGCTACTTGTTCCGATGGCAAGAATTAGTCAAGGCGACTGGAAATAGACCAGGATGCAGCAGATGACCAGCAGTGTTTCTGATGTCTCAATCTTTATGTGATCCCCGTCACAGGAGTTGTCATAATTTTCATTGTGTCAATGTGATGCCCGCTACAGGACATTAATTTGGGGTTTGATTTCAGAGTTTGACTTTTCTTAGATGAGTTTTCATCCAAGGTTAACGGGTCCCATAAAGAGTTATCATTAAACAATTATATCGATCAGAGACAACAAGAAATTGCTACATGCTACAAAGTAAATTTATTTCTGTTCAATAATTTAACCCTCTTGAATGGTCCGGCTGATCTTTCCCCCCAGGGTTGAATGGCCGATCCATCTGCCCGATAATTCAAGCCTCAAGATTGGCTGGCTGGTCTTTGTACCAGCTAAACAGATTGCTTCTTACATTTTTTGCCCATCCTGGCATTTTAATGACAGCCTCCATTGATTTTTTACTAGCTTGTGGTATTCAGGAATTTGTGTGTTTCAAGTAATATTATAAGATTCTAAAACGTCTGACAGTGACACAATCAAAATATCCTTAGTGATTCTGATTTCTCCCTGCCTAACAGTGAATATGACACTGATGAAAACAACCAAGAAGGTAATGATGATGTTGATGATAATGTTATGAACACTTGGTTTAGGATTAGGGGTCCTGCACTCGATAGAGATGACCTCTATGACGTTTTAGAAAATCTAAGAGCTATAAATATGCCTCAAGGCATAAGCACCCCACTTGAGTACTTGATGCTATTTTTATTACTCTAATATCATTCAATGTTTGTGAGAGAGAGACTAATAAGTATGAAGACAACTTTCTCAGTAACACAAAGCTCAAGAGAAGGTCCCTAGGTCATAAATGGCTTCCTGTTACAAAGTGTGAAATAAAATCATTTATTTCCATGATTTTGAATATGGGCTTGATTCATAAACCCACCATCAAGTCTTATTGGAATAACTCAAGCTCACAGAAAAGACCATGGTTTCTCCCAAGTCATGGGCAGAGATAGGTTTAAGTTAATCTTGAAATTTGTTAACTTGGTTGAAAGCACATGTTTTGAATGGACCTGGGCAAGATGGCTATGACACAAGAGCCAGGGGGCGGAAAAAGGAGTAGAACCATGTGCCAGAAATGTCTGAAGGGCCTCTATGGGCCTTGCTTCCCAAAACACAAGTGTCAGGACTTATTCGGGCTTCATCCATTAAAAATTTTACCCAAATTTTACAAGTACATCCTGTTTATTATAAGTGTGACACAAAAAATTAATTATGCAAATCGGAATAGCTCATTTGAATAAATGTTGAGATTTGCAGGTTATAATTTTTGTTATATCATTTCTGTTCTTTTCTCTGTTATATATTTGTTTTAAATTTTGAAGGATATTTAAAATACAACTGAATGATATAAATTACCATTTTTAAACAGATGCTTTTTAGCTTTGGGGATCTCTCAATTTCTTTCAAGGAATAATATTTGAAGCAGAAAAATAACAGATGTAAAACTTTTTAATAGGTTAGAGTGTTGAGGAGGCAAAATTCACACAGGAAAGGAAGATTTTGAAACAAAAGTTGTTTTTTTAAATGTCACTGACCAACCTGTAGTCGAAACAGAGATTCATAGAGCTGAACAGTATTCTCAACTGTATAATAAGCATAATAGAAAGCTGAATATTTGAGTGTTTCACACAGGGTAAACACTGAGTAAATCGCTGAAGATGGAACTGCAACACCCTGGAGCCAAACTGAGGCCAGAATGGACAAAAGGACTAATTTAGCTGAGACTTGCTCCGTAGATGAGTTGAAGCTAACTATTACAGTACCTATGCGTTTGAAGAAAATCTCTTCACTGTTTTTTAACAAAACGAGAAAAAAAATGTGAGTAGTTTGTAAATCTTATGAGTTTTTCTTTTCTTTAAAAATTTTTCAGCAAATATTTCTACTCGATTTCAAGACAAATATGTTTAAAAAGTTCTCAAAAAATTTTTTCCAGTTTGCCACACAAAATTTGTTAAGCATCTCTACTATATCATCCACACCTGATCATTAATTAAATTTAGAGCCACTAGTCATAAAAAAAAAAATCAAATGCGAGACAGTGTCGTGACAGATCACAATAAACTAATTTTAAAAGGCACAAAGCTAAATAAAATAAGATTCATTTTAAAGATGTTAACACAACAGCAGTGAAGTGGCCCTGTCATTATGACTCACAGTGCAGATAGGTATTTCTTGATTTATCAAACTAGGACATATGACTCACAGTGCAGATAGGTATTTCTTGATTTATCAAACTAGGACATATGGCTCACAGTGCAGATAGGTATTTCTTGATTTATCAAACTAGGACACAGGCACAAATATTCTGATGTTAAGATGCACAATGCCATTGAAAGATCAATACAAACTGGGAACATGCTTCAAAACAAAATAAGTGTCCTTGCAACATAATCAAGTCTTTTGAAATTTAAAAAGAAAAAACATGCCAAAGACTTATTTCAAAATACAAATTAAGTTCTACATGATTAATAGAGTGTAAGTAGTAAACACATCCTTTGCAATTAATAATGTAAATGAAATTTGACAAACACGTTTTTTGCAATTATGAACGACTGATTTTGGAAAATACTTTTATTCAGGGGCACAGTAGCACATGTAGGATACATGTTAGTGTATTAGAAATTTGTCTTATTTAGAATCTAAAACTAACATTTTTAGGGGGGTTTTTATTGAATAAGGAAACCCATTTTACTAGGTCTTCTTCAACCAAATGCCACAAAAAGAGAAGACAAAGAAATGTAGGCTAATTTTTCACCCTTAATGATTCTCTTAATGTAACATATATCTAGGACCCTAACATAAAACGTTTCATTTCTGAAAAACAAAACAATATCTCAATAAAACTCGACAGAGTTACTTTAAAACACGTCAGCCTGCTTCTTTAAAATTATTTCCCACATTTTACCAAGCACCGATTGCTAACTATTACACATTTCTAAATGCAAACATTTGTAGCTAATAAGCTCAATATCAACACTGTAAAATCCATATTTCTCATTCAAAATACTTCCGATACCAAATTTAACACATTTGAAATATGGCACCTACCTCCTCAGCTTAGATACAAGATGTTGGAAGGGTTGCTCCCAGCAATGCATTTTGATAACCCTCATTGCTATTATAATCTCTGACATAAGCTGGATTCGCCTATCTGAACAAGCTCCAATTTTCTGTCTGGAGCAAGATATAGTAGGCAAACACTTTTTAAAAATTTTAGTTAGAACAAACAATATCACAATGAGGATAGTAGGTAATTAAAATGATGTAAAATAGCAAATTTTCAAAACACTGAAAAAATATCACTCAATTTTCTTTTTTAAATTTAACAATATAAAGCTAACTTCAGAGCAATTAGGCCTTAAGGTCACATTTTAATAATTAGTGGCTACCAGCAGGTATAAAAAAAATGTTAACCATTACAAATGAATTGACAAATTTTGAAAAGTTATATAAAAATGTTGACATATATTTACATTTAATCTCTTTATTAAGGTATTGGAAGAAGTTTCCTTATAACCTAACCCACCTGAGTTTTCCAAAAACTGATGAAAGTCCAGCTTGAATAGGAACAATCACTGCAACAACGGCCAATCCCCAGAAGCAAGCCACACCAATTTGTCGATACATAAGATACATGACAATGATGATGGAAAGTGGGGAAATCCAAAAGTAGTGTAAAAGATCAATTGCCTGAGGGAGAAATTTTCAAAAGCTTACATTATTAAAAATAAATTATATGAACACTTGAGTTTTAAACACTAATTCATTTTCTTCTTCTTCTATATGTTAAGGGCCCACAATCAATTTATTATCATTTTTGCTCCTATGCATATAGAGGAGATTTGCAATGTTTCTGTGCCTGGTGTTGATGAGGATATTTCACTGATTGCAAGTGCTACTTTGTGAGGGAATCATGCACTGGGGGTTGCAAGGCTTGAGGAAATAAGTGCAAATGTGTCTAGTGTTGTCGCCTCAACTGCTCCATTTTCCATTTAAAATGTGCATAAGCACAAAATATCTTATAATCACAACAATCTAAACATAAGTACGGTATAGACATTTTTTAACATACTGAATTAAACTTTTCTATATCTGTAGACAAATGATTCACTATTTGTCCTGAAGAAGTATATTGGAATGCTTCAGTGCTCAGTGACAGAACCTGGAAATAAAAATATCAATAATATAGCACAGATGACACATTCTGTTGAAAAGAAATATAAATTTTTCCCTTACACGTATACTAGTGTAAAAATTAACTTCAAATAAAATCATTTTCTTCAGTGACAAAAAGTACCATGATCAATTAATGAATCTGATGCATTAATGCTGTAAGTAATAATTTAACGTACCTTTCTGTAAATTAGAGCCCCAACTGCAACCTTCATCCTGAGTGCCACATGTTGCATTATAAAAAAATAGGTTGGATTCACACAGACTTGAATGAAAGCACTTAGACCAAGACATGCACCAACACCATAGGCTGAAGACTCAGTGACTGAACCTTCCTCACTGTTAAAATAAGCTACCAACAAGCCAATGAGAAAAGGTTGCACCAGTTTTATAGCTTCCTTTAAAAAAAAAAGGGGGGGAGTATTTATCTTTTAGGAAGAGGTTAAATAATTTCAATACAATGACGCACAAATAAAAAACTATTCACATTTTAAAACAACTATTATTATAAACCATATTTAAGTTTTAAGTAAAGAAATTTTATCTATAAGCAAACCATTTAAAAATGTTTACAGTACTGAAGTGACTTACAGAAATAAAGACCAAAATGCCAGGTAAAATCCATTGCCACTTAAATGCTAAAAGCACAGCTCTAAACAGACTTGCTTTTCCCCCTTCAGAATACTTTTGCAATTCTTTTTTCCAGTACCTGAGAACATTTAACAAAGTCACTACATCCGTCATAAGCCTTTGTTCAGATAATGTATAATATATGTATTATTATAAATTAAAACATGATCGTGTATTTCCATTGTTTGATGTGGCAATGACATTTAAAAGAAAATCACCAAATTTTTATAAAAATATAGTTGACATACTTAAGAAAAATAGTAAATCTCTTGGACATTTCTAGTAGAGTAGGCAACATAGAAAGAAATAATTTTTTTTTTTGCAATGGTTCAGAAGTCAAGTGAACATAAGGAGCAATGAAAAAGCAGAAACACTGACAAACACAGGGGCTGCCCAGCCGCAATCAACAAAAGCAGTCACCTTTACCTGTATCAAAAATTGGTTGGACAAAGTGGTACAGTCAGTGGGCAGACAACACAAGACCAGAGGTGTGCACGCTAACATGCCCAGCACCAGCAAATCCGATCCATTAAGAAAGCTGAAACGCCAGCACCAGAGCTCGGTAGCACTGATGCAAATGGAACTGCCTAACTAACTCGTACTTCAACTGACTAGACCAGTGGTCGGTAAAGAGCGACTCGCGAGCCACATGGGGCTCTTTAGCGACCTGAGTGCGGCTTGGCCAGTCCGCCACAAATCGGTTTTGACTCTGAAAAACACAGTTCTTGAAAAGAAATTTGGCTCTCAACATTTTTTTAATGGTCCTGCTGCTGATTTTTGGCACTTTTGACTAGATAGTTTGCCAACCCCTGGACTAGACAACAGAGACATGAACTGTTGGCATTCTACAATGGACCAAAAAACGGTTGTACACCTGTTAACACCCACCTTGATCTTATAGACGCCAGAGCTGTAGGCAAGTTCTATGTCAATAAAATGTTGTATGGTTGTGTTATGTAGCGCAATTAGCTTATAAAGTTAAAGTTTGTTTTAAAATGGCTGATTAACAAACAGTTCATAACAAAACGACGTTACTATTGATTAAATATAATAAAGAAAGAACAATACCTCAACTAGTGCTAATTAGAAGTTACAATTTATTTTTACTAAGAATTTTGGTATCAAAGTAAAAAATCAAATATATAGAAATAGAACTCTTATTAACTTAAAACATGTGAATACATGTTATAATGGAAAGATACAAATATTAATGCACACACACACTGGGAAAAATGTTTAAGTCTTGTAAGGTCTCGTAGGTCTCTGGTATTTTATAGTCAGTGAATTTTCTAGAATAGGAAGTCTAGAAATTCAATCTTCAGAAAATAGGTTCTACCTCTATGTAGAACCTTCTGGAAATTGTCCGAACAAACTTTCCCAAACAAGGGAAGTGGGGAAAGGAGTGGCAGACCATTGCACCAGTTACTTGGTGACCTCATTGTCACACTGTGACACCTCATTGTCACTCGGTGACAATATGGGAGCTAAGGGATGTACGCTACAGCTCTACACGATGCAGGGTGAACAAATATTAGGTCAACACACAGGCTATAACAGGTATAGCCAAACAGATGGAGCTGGTTTCCAATGTATTAGGCAGGACCTCAAAGAGCAAAAGCTCAGGCCCCTTAGAGAATATGCATGTTATTTAGTAGAGCAGTTAAACGGAAATAGAGATTAATGGCAATCATTACATGATTCAAAGTTACTAGCAATACAACATTTACGTATATTTTACAAAAAGGTATGCAATAAAGAGAGTATATAAAGAGCTATTGCATAGCAGTGTGTACCTTTCAAGTCTAAGTTCCAAACGATTGGATTCGTCCTCTTTAGAAACATCACAAATATTCATTGAAGACAACCGATTTTTAAAGCCAAGTTTAAACAAGGCATTCATCCACCTGAAAGTATATTATTTTCATGACCTTTTATTAAAATCATTAATTTTCTTATTTTACTTGCAATGTTGAAAGACATTTTAATTTAAAATTTTAAAATTAATTTTTTAACAGAAATTTATTAGAAGCCTATATTATTAAATATATAAAATGCACATGTTAGCTTTTAAAGTTGTCCATAAAAATATAGGCCTATATATTTACTTAAATCATTTCAGAACTTTAAACAAAATGATGAGAAATCAATTTAAAAATTAAGTTTATTTACAAATTAAATAAAAACAGTCATTCTGAAACCTTAATACATTACACGTACCAAAATGTGATCTTGGAAAAAATGTTAGCATGGTCATAAGGACATGACCTAGATGAGTGGTCAGCCATAGTTTTGTTGCCACTCAGCTAGCACTCAAGACAAACTCTTGGTTTCAAGGCCATAAAACAGCATAACAACTGGGGAAAAAATATTGCGTTCTATATTCATTATTCTGATTAGGGGGTATCCATAAGTGAACGGTTCCTCACTTCACATTATTTTGGCAAGTTTTAGGACCCATTCTACCCTTATCATAACTAATTCGTCAAAAAGTTAGACACCTGTATCACAACCAATCCCCCCTCTTTGTGTGATAACATTTTTTTTTAATGGAGGCCCTTGGCCTTAGTTACTGCAGCAGTTGGTGAATGCCATGGTATATTCAGTTATCACTTGTTAAATATAATGCAGACCAATTAATATACAAATACAATTCTGTGTGAATCTTCTAAAAGAGAATAAAATATCTGGCACTCCTCAGAATGGCGGTCCAAAATTAAAAATAGAATACTATTCGTTAGAAAATGTCCGGCTACCAGCCTAATAACCGCCAATAATTGATGATGTATTTGTTTACATCTAATGCTCTAATTAAATTTATTCTTTTTTTTTATGAAGATTCTGATCTTCATCAGCCTCTTCATCATCATCATCTCATGAAACAAAAAAATTTTTTATAGACACAGTGTTCAGCAAGCCACACTAGCCAAACCATACAGTGCCTTTGGCATTGTGTCATAAGTTTGTAGAATGTTTCCTGTCAAAACATTATTTGAAATATGATATTGTCTATTTTATATTATTACAAGCAATAATTAGTTTGCAAACAAAATTGGAAGTAAAACATTACAAAATTTGAAGTAAAAAATTATTTCACCAATTTTCTGCGGCTATTAGGCTGGTGGTTGGACACTTTCTAACGAAAAGTATTCAATAATTAATTTGCTACCGCCATTCTGAGGAGTGCCAAATATCTTATCATCATGTCATCAGCGACTAGTATTTTATTACTGGTACCGTACTAGGAGTAACTGTGTATAGTAATTAAAGGCTAATGTTGAGAGATCAATCCCTGAAGTCATTTGCGTGTTTATTATAGTTGCAGTGAATTAGGGTTTAGGTTAGGTTGAGGGATCGATTTAGGGTTCAGGTTAGGCATAGGGATCGATTTAGGGTTCGGGTTAAGCATAAGGATCGATTTAGGGTTCAAGTTAGGCATATGGATCGATTTAGGGATACGTTAGTGACAGAATTAAATGGTTGTGTCAACCAAGATGGCGGCCATTTCGGGACGATCTCTCAACTTTTACATAATTAAACTTAAAAGTAAAAGCTAATTTGCAGCATTAGTTAAGTCCGATATGATTGCATTATTAATTACGCCTAGCTCCCCCAACCTTCCTAATGAATGCAATTCTTATTTAATTTAACTTTGGTTAAAAGGTAGAGCTTAGGTCAGAGTTTTTATGTCTTTTGGGATGCACTTTTATTACAATAATTTACATATCAGGATTTTTTTTGCCACAATCAATGAGGTAAGCAATAAAATTGGTGATGACATGGACATAGAATTAGTCACTTAACAGCAAGAGTTTTGGCTTTTGGGGCGGGAAGAAGGTGGATGGAAACAAATGTGTATTACCCGTATTAAAAAAAAAAAAAAAGTTTGAAGAGCAAATAAATAGGCCTACAGTGCCTACAGGTAAAATTTGTAAATGATGGAAATCAAATGAGTTAAAAAAATTAAGTAAAGTTTTAAAAATTAACTTGACAGACAGGCATCAGCATAGGCTTCCTTTTGTACATTTTCAAGCCGACTGCTTTTTTTTTTTTTACTACTAAGTATTTACTAGAACTACTTTGAAGAAAAGGAAGGCCTACTAATTCTAATTACTAATTAATAGGCCTACCTACAATACTACTACTAAATTTAAATAATGTAGTAGTAGCTTAGGTAGTGGCTGATAGAATTATATTTATAGTCATAGTCATATGTAACGGACTATGTTTCACATGAAAACAGAGAGGTAGCATGAGTGAACAGTGAATTGTGTTGACCATGTATTTTGAGAGGCAAATGTGAACTCCACGTTTTTGGAGAGTAAAATTGTGTTTTTGTCAGAGCGGTTGTTTTCCACGCTTTGCTGGTAATAAAGTATGAGTTGACTGATATAGTAGAGAGCTGAGCGCAGAGCAGTAGAGTCAGTAGCGTGAGAGCTGTGTGATTAGACAGTTGACAGTTTAGTGTGAGGACGTGTCTTTATTAATGATGGAGTACTATGGATATATATATGTGAAATTACATTCATGCAAGGATTATTTATTAATATTATCAATATAAAGTGTGTTCAATAAAGTACTGTAAGTTTAACCAGGATTCAGTATTCTTATTTGCGTGCCCGGATTATAAGTGGAAGAATGAAGAAGCCTTAGTCGGCATCCTGAAATATCAACATAAGTAACCATACTACTGACATAACCCACAGCATAAGAAATAAGCTCCCACGCCATGTCAGAGTAGTTGTGTTACAAATGGTGTCAGAAGCGGTGTAACGATGATGCGTTACAAATATTGTAAAGAAATGTCAGAAATGTGTTACAGAACATTGAGTAACAATGATATATTTTAAAATGCAAGCGGAAGAATACAGCGAACGACCTTACAACCGTGTATTAATCAAGTCCGAGAAGAGTTCACTACACACAGAGTTAGCCGATAATTGAGGTCAGTCACGGGAGTTCAGAGTTCAGTCAACTGGTACACGGCAACTAGCAGCATAAGGAAAATTTTCAAGTTATTTACAACTGTAGCAAAGATTTACTGTAAGCCTACATATTACAAGACCAACAGAAGTAGAAGTCTGACGTTATTACAGATGAGATGTGTGTATCAAGACATCGAAAGTAAGATTTCCCCAGCATAATCTTCACTTTATACAAGCCGCACAAAGCCTAGTGCGCATTTCAAGTAAAGTAATTCTTTAATTACTC